GAGGGGGGGGGAGGTTCAGCGAGTACCTCGTCATCGACGGCACCAGCGAATCAGGCACTCAGCCGCATTTTCGTCATGCTCCCTCGCTTCTCAGAGTCAACCTCGCCAACTAAATACCGCAAGAATGCGGGCGGGCGATTGCACAGATCGATTGCCTCGCACCCAAGAGGTTGTGAACCCCGACCAATACGTGCAAGGGATAGATGCTCTCGAGGAGATTGTTCCAAAAATACACCTTTCGGCATTGGCAGCCTCTTGGTAGTGGATGTGGAGCAATCGAGCTTTCAATCTCGATGGCACCCCGGTACGTTCGCCCGCACTTTTACGGTACGGTACGGTACGGTGTGCAGTGTGCAACCCCACCGTACGCTAGCTGGACTAAATATTGTACATCATAAAACCTTCCTGGCAGGGACAAAAAAACAAAGGCGGTGTTCGTTATACCTATGCCTATGCCTAAAACTACCAACAGTACAATAGTCACCCCTTCAATCCAGACCCCTCTCCGGGGGGCACACTGCACCCCCCCCCGCCCCGAAAAACACACACACACCTTTTCTGCTCGGAAATCCTCTTTGTCCTGCATTTTCATGGCCCTCGGTCTCGGCGGGAGCGGGAAACAACGCTCGATCACACGCATCAGGGTCTGCTGGGGGGCCGAGATGTAGTCGGTGGAAGTCGTCTCGGCCGCAGTTGCCGCCGCCGGCGCCGCAGAGGCGCCTCCGCCGCCGCCGTCCTCGCCATCCCCCGCCCCCGCCCCCGCGCCGCCGCCGCCGCCCCCGCGCGACTTCATCGCTGCCTCTGTGCTCGCCTCACCCGTGCTCTGCAGGCCGATCACCACGCACTAATAATGCCGTGTCGTTCACGCGGTGGTGGCCGATTTCGGTTCATGCCGTGGTGGGTTTTTAGCAGCATGTAGGAACGACGCCGGCCAACAGGACACGCGTGTGGAGGGGGGGCAGAACCGCGAGTGCGCAGAAGAGCAAGCACGGCAGGAAGGGCGAAGAGAGGGTGGTGAGCGCACACACCCCAGTGTTTGCGGGAAAGAGTGAACAGAGCCAGAGTGAGACCGCCGTTGCCACCGCCTAAAGCAAGCCTCGGCGTCGCTCGTGGCGCCGTTGTGGGCATTGGCGTCAAAACCACGCTCCTTGATCTGCCGGTACTACCTTCCAAGTGTCCCGCGTGCCACAAGCGTAAAAGAGTACGATAAGAAGAACACTTGAGCATTGCTAGAGGAAACACCCAACCATGTGTGTCGCGTAGCCCCCATAAAAAGTGCTACTATCAGTGTCCGCCGCCGGGAAAACGAAGGGATTACTCGCCCCGACTCAACCCCGAGGGAGGCGGTCAACGGCCCCCAGAACAACGGGCACGATATATAATACCCCTGCTGAAAGCATCCCCCCGCCCACGGCCTGGCCCAAGAAGCCGAAGCACCCATTCGCAGCAGCCGTGATACACTATTAAATCACTGGAAAGCTTAAGGTGAAGGTTTGCCACGTGTGGACAGCGAGCGCTCTCGACCAACAAATTTGAAAAAAAAAAAGCCCAAAAAATTGTCGTACTACTGCTGTACCATCACTGTTTGCTCCTGTTCTCACCCCAATCACCCTCTCCCCCCACAAAGAAACGTAAACAAACTTGCGGAGCCCCTCCCCTCTATCCCCGACGCCCCCTTCCCAAGAGCCGAAAAGCTGTGCCACGTTACCTTGTCGTTGTCCAGGGCCTGCTGTGCCTGCTCGATGGTGGCGGGCACTTTGGACGCGATGCACAGGTCTCGGAAGAACCGCTGGTGAGACCCCCAGAAGTACCGCCACACGAATCCCCCCTTGAGCGACCGGTGCCTGTTCGTCCAACCCACCGAACACACAAACACACACACACACACACACACACACACACGTGTTTTCATTTGTCTTGCCAACGTGTTCATGTCTCAGTTCGAGACTTCACGTTCGAACTTTCATTGGCCAGTAGGTTACAGTAGCGCCTTCGAGGCACGAAACACAACACAGGCTGAACAAGGTCAACAGGTCACTTGCCGTGTAAAACAGTCATGAACCGACGACTGCTGCGTAAAGAGGGCTGGTTGAACTACTGAAACCAATCTTCGTTCCGCCGTGCGGCCCCCGCAACCCCACCCCGCTTCACATGACATAATTTGGGAGCAAAGGCTATCACCACGACAATCCTACACAGCCCACATTCCGGTAGTAACCACCAACACACATGCATGCGTACAACCACAACCACCACCACAACCAAAACATAGTCCGCATTCCGGTACTTAACACCAACACACACACACACACACGACGTGTGCTGCACCACGCACCGACGCCGGGCGGCCGCAGACTCGGTGTCCGAGTCGTCCATCATCCCGTCCAGCTCGCCGAGGGGGTCCTCCTCCTCCTCCTCCTCAGACGACAGGTCCAGGTCCTCCTCCAGGATGCCCGGCGTGCTGAGGAAGGACGCCTTCTCCGCCTGGGCCCGCGCCAGCTCCCTCTTGAGCTCCTGCCAGAACGCCGCGGCCTCGTTGTACGTCTCCTCCATCTCCTCGCCGAGGACGTCGGTGACGAGCTGCGTTGTTGTCGTTGTTGCGGTCGTGTTGTTGTTGGAAATGTTGCCGGTCGGTGTGGCAAGCGCGCGCGCGTGGGGTGTGTGGGCACGTGAGTGCAACTGTAGGAGCACGTGACTGCGAGTAGGAGCGCATGACTGCGAATCTAGGAGTGCGTGGGCGCGAACTCTGGTGTTGTGTGCTCTTCTTGCAGCTTGCGCTTCTTCGGAGGGAGAGCGAAAAGGGCTGAAAGTTATGGTGCATGACGCTGTGTTTTGAGTCTCTCATCATAGCACAACCACCCACAACGACCCGCAACCCCAAACACTCCGCCAACAAATTTCAACATCCTACTCTTCAAGTTCGATGCCTAGAGACGATGACGGAGTCAAGTACTCCCTTTTCGCCCTGGAGAGGGTCCCAATACACTTAAGCGATGAAAACACGGCGTGCTCCGTCCCGGCCTTGTACGGATTCGAGGCCAACAGTCTAATGACTACGGTATGCACGGCTGTGAGTACCCACCACCACTACCAGCTGTACAGGGGCATACCAAGAAGTGGTTTGAAAAGGCGAGAAGTGGCATCGGTGGGATAGATAGGCTAGGGAAGACATTTTTGAGCCACCTTTGGCAACGTAGGAAGGAACGATTGGCCATCGGTGATCGGTCCTGTGGGAACAATGCTCCGTCCTCTCGACGACGCGTGGCCAATGGTCTAACCGCAAAGGCATGCCAAACATAAAAAGAGTACCCCCCCCCCCCACACACACACACACCTCGAAGGGGCAACCGCTGAAGGAGAGGGTGCGACACACGAACGACCCCCTCTGCTTGAGGTGCATCGCCACGAGCTCCATCGCGCCCACGCCCCTTCCGTCGACGGGAGTCAGGAAGTCCTTGAAACCGCCCGGGAAGGGGCTACCGATCGCGCCCCACAGCCCGAGGCGGGTCATGTAGCCCAGGTTGCGGGGCTCCGAGGCGCCGGTGGCAGAGCAGTACACGATCCTGATTGGTTCACACGACGGGGGGGGGGGGGGGGGGGGGGGGGCCCGGCCTTTTTTTCCTGAAAAAAATGGTTTTCCACCCCAAAAAAATCGGGGGGTTTTTAAATTTGGGGGTTTTCGGGGGGGGGGGGGGGGGCTA